CCGGGTATGGGTCCAAATTTTGAACCGAATAGGTTGGGTCCGGTCCGGCCGGACCTGATCTGAATAATATGGGTATGTATTATGTAGGTATTCATAAATGTTGCCAATTCGTTTGTTTTTTAGGAATTTCCAGCCATTACGTGAAACAGTAAGGAATGTCGGTATTTATAAATGTTGTGCAATACTGTAAATGTTGCCAATAATTGGGTATATGATGGTAAGAAAAAAGGAAAAAAAGAAAAAAAAAAAAGAAATGCTCATAGTCATAGGGTGGCAATGGACATGACTAGACCTAGGACCTGACAGATCTGGGTATGGGTCCAAATTTTAGACCCAAAAGGTTGGGTCTAGGTCCAACACCTGGACCCAAATACTATTCGGGTCCGAATCCAACCGAACCTGACCTGTACCATACCCGATACCACCCTAAAAATAACCACCTCATAAACTTTGAGGGGTATTTTGCTTATTTTAAAATTTTACTAATTATACTTTTATGATGCTCCCCAATACAATGAAAGTAGCCTCAACCTTTCATCTCTATCTGGTATTTCTAAGAAAAAAAATTAGGCAAATGAAAAGGGGTGAGAGCAAATGAGAAATTTGGGTTTCTCATTCTTGAGAAATTTATAGCTCTATGGGGAATTGGGATGGAGGGTGAAAGTCGAAATTTCTCTTGTCTAGAAATGTAGACTTCTAGTTCCCCTCTTTCACTAAGGTCTTTAGTTGCCAAACTACGAATTTCTACAATGATCTAGAAATTTCAATTTTTGGTGTTGGATTTTTTTGTTGCAAAATAACCTTAAAATAATAATAAGAGTATTTATTTATGATATAAGAATGTCATAATCACCCTTAGCTATTAGATGAGAAACTTAAAGATAAAGTAATAAATAATGACGAAGCTCATAGTCAAAACAAATTTTCTCGAACACAACCCTAAGGGTCAAATTTCAAATTTGATTGCCATTGGTTAATTGTGGCCTTCTCGTACACCTAAGTCTAAAAAACGGGGACATGACATTGAAGGAGCCTGCCTTGAGTCAAACCAAATCCTGCTCTATGGTACACAAGAAATATAACTTAGGGCCCGTTTGGCTCATTGGATTCACATCTCCCGGAGTCATTTTTTCTGGAAAAGCTAGGCCAATCGTGTTTGGTTCGTTTAAAATTGACATTTCCGTTGGAATTGAGATTTTCATAAGATTTCTGAATGTTCATTTTAAGCCTAAACTTATATTATATTATTACATCAACATTACATATTTTGTTGTTAACACACGACCAATAAAATAGATTCCATTTATATTATTATTTAAAATAATATTTATTCAAATAAATATTAAATGATTATTATTTCAATAATAAATACTTTAAATAGTAATAAAAATAAGAAAATAATAAATACTATAATAATACAATATTATAATTTTAGAAAGTTAACAAATATTATAACAAAATACACATCATGTTAATGCTGACGAGATAATATAATATAATAGTAATATAATGACACTACATGCTATTAGTATAGTATAATATTAATATATGCCAAAAAGTTTAATGCTTCTATGGAAGTATGCTATCTATTTACTCCGTCATATAACACCAAATCTAGAAGTAATTGTAGGATCCCAAAATTTGAAGATGTATCCTTTTCGATTTCGTAGACTAAACTCAATAAATTTTTGTTTACAAAAAGTTTCTAAATAGCACTCTCTACGCAAAAAAATAATGTCTCAAACTTGAACAGAGACCGTCCAATTTTATGACAATGAGCCTAATAACTAGAATGAAAAACATATCATGAGACCATTTATCTTTAGTACAAGATGGTCATAATTAATTTTGACCATTGGATGTGAAATCAGATGGTTGCATTTATTCCATTGACCAAGTTCAAACTTCAAAAGAAACTTTCTTGAATTTTGTGACACACACAAGCTATTGGATTTCACATCGGATGGTTGTAAGTCATTGTGACCTCCGTGTATTAAAGATAAATGGTCTGATGTATATACTCCTTAATTAGAACACTTAAAATTCAAAAATTCTCTTTTCAAATAGAAAAAAATCCTCCTAAGTAGGTCATCTAGCCGAGGGAATAGATGTATAGTACACTCCTACATGGAGTATAATATTATAGTATTATAATATCATATTATAATATTATGATACTAATATTGAGGATGATCATGATATTTTATAGTAAGTATTTATTAAATTAAATATTTAAATGATAATTTTCCAATATAAATACTAGTAATAATAATAATATAATAATAGCACAATAATAATAATAATAACGACAACATCAATACAATATGAATACTATAGTCATATAATATTATCATTAATGTAATAATTATAGAATATTATAATATCATAATTTCAGTATTAATATAATATTATGATATTAATATAATATAATATTCTTCTTTTTTTTTTATTTCCTAAAAGATGATAGAAATTGTGACCCGATAGAACCTCTCTTTTCTCAATAAATAACTAGATCTTTGGTTAGAATAAAATTCAATTTAATTAAAATAAATATTAGTAGTATATTTTAATTAAAAGACATACAAACACCTGTACACACTTGCATATCGATTAATTAATTATTATTAATAAAATAATTACAGTCTTATTAATATATACCCATACAACTATAGTTATAATTTGATTAAATTACAACAATATTGTATTGCATTATTATAAGGAAAATTGTTTTATACGGGCTGGACCTCATTTTTACAATATGCGATCTAGAGGTACAAATAGGTAGTCCATTTAAAAACAAGCGTAACTAACGGTCCAAATGTTTTCTTAATATAGTTATTATTTCTAGTTTTCAATTTTTTTTTTTTCCATAGTCGTGATCTCCAAGTTAAAGATTATATCTTATCTAAAAATTAAGATCAAATAATATTTTAAAAAATATTTATTGCCAAGCCCGCATTTCTACAATATGCAGGCTGGATGCATAGAAATTGTGTCATTATAATTAGATTAAATCATTATGATACTTTTATAATTATTATATAATACTTATTATGATATTATCATCATCATTAGAGCCGTTTGCCAACTATTTAGGGTCGGCTACGCGAATCTTATGATGTAATTTTGTTTTATCAAGGGCCATACCCTCAGGAAGGCCATAAGTCGTTATAACTTTTCTTACTACTTCCGACCATGTTCTTTTGAGCTTATTTCCTGTCTTTTTTTAGCCTTCCACTCGAACCAACTTGTACATCCTAATAAGTATTGTGCTGGGTCTCACTCCACATGGGTAGCCTACCTAAGTCTCTTTTCTTTCATCTATCGCCTATTAAAATCAAACGAAAATTATTGTATCATAGTATTTTATTATGATATAATAATGATAATGCATACAATTGAAATATAATATTAAGAAATCTAAATTATAATTACAAATTTTATAACTATACAAGTAATTATAATTGTATTAGTTTATTTATATTATATAATAACATAATGGATTTTGCTAAGGTATTCCTGGAGTATTTTTTTAATGTATTCAAAATTTTTAGATACTCATTACCTTTGTTTTATAATACAAAATCTTACATGTAAGGGCATTTTTTATTGTTAAGAAATGTATGATATTTTTTATTGTTAAGAAATGTATGATAGATATTTATATAAGAAACTAGTGACATTTTATTAGAGGTTAAAAAATAATTAATATTCCATGTGGGTGATTTCACACCTTAGATAGATGATGTCATTATTTACTATAGTTAATAAATATTTTTATTTCTATAAAAAAATTTTAATTTATCATTGATTAATTATCTAAAATACCTTAGATAAAAAAAACTGCTACATTTTGGAGTAAGGATATCAATTGTCAAAAATATTAAGTATAGTAAGAAATTACTCTATGTGTAAAAGTAACATAACAAAACCCTAATATAATTATCACGGAACTGTTATTTTACAACAATGATAACTTTGTATAGTTGTGTATTAAAAATTGTATAATAATTTAGTACTAAATAGATTGGTCCTTATCTTTTGTAATATTTTTGAATGTTTCACTCTAGTAGTCTCCTTCTTTAATTCCCCCTAATGAAATATGCCATTTTTTTTTTCGAAATTTAGAAGTAAATATGCTTTAGACAAATTGATCTACTACGCGGAACATATGTAAATATGTTGGTTATACAAAATCATGAGGTGCCCTTTGGTTATTATAGGAATAATGCCAAATAACTCCATTTATTTTGTGTACAATGGGACCGCAATCATTTTTAAGTAAAATCAAGCAGCAAGAGATGCACCACAGGATCAGTTTGAGAATCTAAAAGAATATCTCGAGTTTTGTAACATACTTTTAGCAACACAATTTGACATATGATGGTTAGAGGTGATTGAAATCTTCTTGCACCATAAATAATTTGCCTCATGTCACACATTCTCTCGTAGCAAACCATTTCAAAATAGAAATGACTTATAGAAGGCATTAAACTTACACTATAAAAGTAAGACATCTCAAAACCCACCAAAACAGTTGTTCCTACATTCGGAAACTCATCCTGAACTCGAGATGAATGGATATGAAAAAGAGAAAGTATAAAAAGAGACCACCTACTTTTAGCATAAGGATATTACAACCACTCATGTTCATCATATTGCAAATTGGATGGTTGTGAGCATGTCTTTCATTAGTATCAAAGTTTAAAGAATTTTTTTTTTAACTTTATGACATACACCAAATCATCTAACTTGACATCGAATGGTTAGAAACAATTGTGGCCGTCTTGTAATAAAGATAAACAATCTAAAAAAACAAATTTAAAAATCCTATAAAATTGGACTATCTCTTTTTAATATTATTAAATACATTAAAAATTTGCTCAATCCACGTCATGCATTGTACTTTAATTTTCATAATTAGTCATTATTGGAAAAAAATAAATTTATAATTAGTGCTGAAGTTTAATCGTCATCTTAACTCTCAGCTCTCAGCTCTCAACATTTGCATAAACCGCACTCTAACATTTGCATAAACCGCACTCTATAAATTTCAAAAATTTGGAATGTTACGTTCATTTTCAGCAAAGAGAAATAAACTGCACATGAATATGGCAGGTCGAATCTTTCCCACATTATGCGCTATTTAGTCAAGTTTTATAGCTGTGCATTAGCAGAAGAGGCTAGCAAATTTGGCCCTAATTTCCTCGTATTTTAGGGTTTATCCAAATCAAGGTAATAGTGTCAAACTTCAAGTGAATCTAAGGTCTTCAATGGAGGTGTATAGCCCTTGAAGTTGCCAGATTTAGCCATAGCTTGGTCATTTTAGGGCTTTTTAGTGGAGTCCATTTTGTAGTGGATCAATAATCAGTTAATTCAACGGAATCAGTTAGGGAATTTCAGAGTTTCCCATTTGATTCTTCAAATCCTTGATCTCCAGGCCTTTTTTGAGATTTAATGGCTTAAATATGGAAGAAAATGTTCGTTCGCCTGGATCATTGGACCTGTCTCCTTCTCTGATCAAGTTCTTAGACAAGAATTTTAAGAAGAAAGAGGATTTGTTAAAAGCTGGGGAATTAGCTCTAAAATTGACCGAAGAGTGCTCGGATTTGGATAAAGTTTTAGCAGATTTGGAGCAGAGGTTTATAACAAGTATAGAGTCTTGGATTTCTCATTATGATCGAACTCAAATTGCTTGTAGTGAAATTAAGCTCAAACTTTACGAGATTGGAGCATCAAATTGTGTCCCTAGCCCTTCTTCAGGTAAGGAAAATCATCCATTTATGAATTGAAGCATAATTTGAGCTCAGCTTAAAGATTTAGATTGCATGAAAGTAGACAGTGAACTAGTGATTATCAATGTCAAGACATTTTTTTATGAGATATCTCTGTAGAGATCCCTTTAGTGCAAATTGTGAAGAATGTACTGGTAAATTTGTCAATGAAGAGAAATGATGTTTGTTACAGAGGCATTGAATTGTGTTTAAACCAGATGGAAAGAAAAAGTTCAAAATTTAGATCATAGTATAGATAACCTTCTAAAATAATTTGTAAAACGTTACCAGGATTCATACTTCATTTGTGATAAAATGAAATGAATTCCATTGAACATTTTATTATTCTCATAATCTCACAAATGTGGCTATCCCATTAATTTCAAGAGATATCATCAGTCAATTGTTCAACTTCTTGTTGCAATAAAATAAGTTTTTTGCTGTTGATTCCAACCAAATTGTGTGAATTAGAAAGGAATGAATTTCCTGTTTGTTTTTGCTATGAGGAACTCTTTACTTGAAATTATCGTGTAGATGGAAAGGAAACCAAGTCACTTCGAAAAACTGAACAAATTCTTGCAAAAGAGTTGCCTATGCTTGCGAAGGAAGTGACCAGAGTAGAGGCAGTTCGTGTTTATGCAGGTGTGCATTAATTTGCTCTTGATTCTATCGCCCCAATGTTTCTATTATTTATTTATTTTGCTAATATTTTATTTTGTGACTCAATGTATCCCAGTGTTTTAAAATGAGTTACTATGGATTGGCCTTGCCCGGGTCACCAGACCCTGCATAACCTAAGACTTAGGCAAGTCTGACCCGATTCACTGATTTCAACGTACTTTCTTTTAAAGAGACATGGCTGAGTCAGCCTCTGACTTGGGCTCGAGAGCCTGGCACCTCTAGAGTTCTGGATTTTAATCACTGATGCATCCTTATATGCTGGTCTTAACTGTGTGCTCAACTTGTAAAAATAAATGATGCCATTGATTCTCGAGTTAGCTCTGGGCCAATTTTAATATTGGGACTTCTTATTTTGGTGTATGAGTAGAGTTTTTCTTTTCGTAGGTCTTGTTGGAGTTTAGAATTGAGTCCGTAACACTGCATTTAAGGCTTTAGGGTGTTTCGGTAAAGCAAATGACTTTCCCATATCCTTGTTAGGCAGCTTAAAAATATTGCTAGGACTTGTCCTTCATCAAGCCCGAAAGTGGCATTGATGGATTGTGACACTTACAATATATAGATGATACTGGAAGGATCCATGAAACATGGTTTGCCTCTCAAGTTTGGCTCCATGATTTGAATAATTTTTTGACTTAAATTTAGTTTGAGAAAGACTAGTGTGGTTGGGTTGTAGGGTGTGGTGCAGAGGGGGAGTGGCTTGTGGCACTGGTGATTAGATCAGAAATTTTAAATCGTCCTAGTTAGTGCATCCTCTTCCTGTTGGACCTTCCACTGATATCCGTTGGGAGGTGCTATTGGAAAGAAATGCTAGTGCATTGGCTAGGTTAGATTGGAGTTTTTTATTGGAGAGGTTGAATCCTGAATACATTTGACAAAATCGACATTATCTGATCCCCTCTTGTACTTCATGTCTTGTCAATTTGGATCACCTTGTTCTGTGGTCAGAAAGCCCAAAAGCTCCAAAGGGATTTTTGATGGAGTGAGGAAGAGAAGGATAAGAACATCCATTTAGTTCAGTGGAAGTGCTCAAAGAGAGGATTAGTGCTTCGATCAATTTCACGGCCAACAACCAAGTGTGGGTTTAGTGGCATTGCAGTTGATTCGTCTGAGGATACAGGGCAGTTTTACCATTTGAACCTATGAGGTGCAAGCCCAAAATTTGCAGTGTAATTCACCAATTGTGGTACTAAGTCTTGAAATGGCAGATTCCTCAACAAGCTGAGCCTCAGGGAGTGATTAGTTTTATAACGATTAACATAGACTTACTAATGGTGTTTTGGATAGCTTGACGGTTTTTGAACCTAATGCTCGAGGTTCAAACCCCTCAAAATCCATCCCATAGCTTCTCGTAATTTCAACCTCTTTCCTTTTTTTTGGGTAAAGCAGGACAAAAAAATAGCAGATGCCGTGGTTCGAACCCCTGAGCTTGTGTAAAGCGACCACGGCATCCAAACAAAGCGACCTGTTAATGTTAATTTTGAGCTTTGGTTCGATCCCCCGAGCTTGTAAAAGGGCTCGGCATCCAACCAAAGAAATCTGTTAACCTAGCTGTTAATTTTGAGCATGACATATAATTATCTCTTATTTTTTTCATTTTTATTTTGTTTTTTGGCTTGGGCTGGACTCAGGCGAGTTTCTCGGACTTGCCCGAGGAACTCACGTCGGCCAAGGGGCGAGGACCTTGGCCAAGGCAAGTCCCGGAACCTTGGGTAGGACAAAATTACATTTGAGGCTCTAATTGAGTTAGGAACAAGAGGCCCTTTGATTGAGCTATGGATGCCACCCTATCCACTTTTGCATCCTCTTGCAACTTGAGAGCAGGTTTCCCTATGCTATGGACCTCAGTGCAGCCGCATCACTGTATATGTGGGCAATAAGTATAAAACTTCCAAGAAATTATAAAATTGATAGGAGTACAAAGAATAACATGAATTTGTAACTTATGTAATGGTAGGCATTTATATACACTGTCTGTAGCGCTGGTAGAATAATGGAGGCATTTTAGGAGAATGATTTGAGGTTTGACTTGTTGAAGGTGAGATGGGTGAGACATGAGGCAAGTGCTTCATGGAGGATGAACATATTGGAGGAGATCCTTGAGATAAAAATTAATTACTGGATTTGTCATTTTAATGTGTTTTGAGAGATGCCAGTGCGATTGCTGATTCCTTGTGAGAGGAGGTGCTAAGGATGAGCAAACTATTAGGAATACCATCCCTCTCCTTTGATAGTTGTACTGATTGCATATGCATAGTAATTCGCTGTGCTTTATATATTTTTATAAATGGATAACCCCCATTTTGGATACTGATGTATGTTTTTGTAAATATGTGGTCGTGGCGCCAATAAAATCTGTCAATTTGTAGTAGGTTGAAAAATTGTATTAGTGGCAGCATTTTGTGGGTGGGCAGGAACCTAATTGGGTAATTAAATGGAACTCAATGTTGCTGCTTCATCCATGAATGAGACGTCACCTAAAATGCTACCTCAACGGACCTGATCCAAGTTTGGGGCGACGTACAAAAGAACCCCAAGTCTTGCTTATTGAGAAAGAAATCACTATATAATACAAATACTTAGAAGATATCCCTAACTTAAGGTGTATTATTGGGCTGCAGCTTATTAAAGTTGCCCCTCAAATATCACCGGAAAAATGCAGTTTCCGCATTGGAAACCCTCAAATTGATCATCTTGAGTTCGACAATTTGGATCTGAATAAAAGGGCATCAATCCCAAAAAATATGCATCTTGTAGGCTGTCTATTTCAAGAGTTCACATAACGGCCAAATCTTATTTTTGGAGCTTCAAATTTCATATTTAGGGACATTTAATGCCATCGCAAGAATTTTTGGTACCAAAAGTGCATTTTCTATTGGAGTTTCTTATGTAGTGGGATATCACAAGAAGAGATCATGAACTGAAAATTTGAGTGAAAATAGCAATGGAAGCTTACAAGCCAAGCTTTAGTGATATCTCTGGTTTAACCAGAACAATCAAAACAAATAATATGCAACTCTTCAACTAAAACCCTAAACCAAACTCTATTTATAGAGTAAATTCACCATAGATGCCCTTAAACGCGATTATAATATAACTTGACTTGCTAATTAGATTATTCAAATTTAGTTGAATTCCTAATTAAATTGGACATAGAATTACACTTTTACCCCTACGTAAAAGAAAGACGATTTTTACATTCTAGTTATTATTCCAAAACTAACCTGAAATTCCCTAAAAAACTCTTAAAAGAAACCCTAAAGGCCCATAATACATTCCTGAAATGTAATAGGAAAATTGAAAAATTCGAGGCATCTTGTCCAGCATTGAACTTCCCTGGTTAGAGAAAACTTGTCGCCAAGTTTTGAAGTTTTACTTGTATAAATTCTTCATCGAAGCCAGAATTTTCTTTAACCTTTTTCTTTTTTTTTTCCTTTTTGGCTTCAAGAGTATGGGTGATCAGGAGAATTCCTCAAGAAATGCCTCTTGATATGTATGTTGAAGAGTTGATATCTACACTACATATTAAGCCACAGTTAAGGGATGGATACGTGTTGCAAAAATAAAGAGGATTAGAGAAAAAATATGCTATGAAGTCCTAGAGTTAGGCTATATTAAATAGGGACTAGAGTACAAGGATGTTCACATATGGAAATAGACAACTAAGGTACGAGACAATTCTATGTGCAATGCACGTAAATTCACTAGTAAATATTAACTCAAACTGAAATGGCAATGGATACTTTTGAACTCAAAATTTTGGGCCTTTAGAGGGCTTTTTGTGATGAAATCGACAGGGAAAAACCAACTGAGTAGTCCTAATGCAATAGAGCTATGAAATAACTTTCCAACAAGTACGAATAATAGTGATTCTAAGTTATGAGTGACAATTTATTATTCAGAGCCTTTTTCCAACTATTGGGGGCGACTACATGAATCTTGGTCCGCCATTATGCTCTATGAAGGGATATATCTTAGTGAGGTTATAAGTCCCCGTATCTTTTCTCACTACTTCTAACCATGTTCTGAGTGACAATTTATGCTTTATCTAATATAAAAAGCTCAAAATCATCTCATGTACTGCTTTAATCTCAGTATCAAGGGAAATATCATCAACTACTTAGCAGACACCCTTTATGGCATCCTCACTAGCTGAGAGTCTAGAGATTTCGAGATTCTTGGCGCTCCATCATCATCTTTCTCTTTCTCCTGTGCAAAGAGTTCTACTTTGATCTGAATTCTCTTCCCTCTCCGGATTATCAATCTCTTTCGGTTGGCTATCCTGCTGAACCATCTCATCTGCACAAGCTTCATCCACAAAATCAGTGTCACCAATTGAAACTCCTTTCTCACAATCAACCCTTGCAAGTTTAGGAATCCTGACCAAGCTCGAAAATTTCTCATTTTAGTCCTTGCCAAACACCTCAATGATTGGCTATTGGCATAGAAAACTTCGGATTTTTGCCCATAGCTTCCATGATAGATGGCGACCCTAGAGTTCCTAGTTCCCCTTGCCATCTGCCACGCCTTCTTCACCTTGGGTTTTCTCATTCCCCTGACGATCACCGACTCCTTCATCTGGGCACTTGTCAAAGATTGGTGGGCGAATTCCAATCTATGGTTTGCTGATTTTTGAACAACTTGATGATAATAAGGTTTCTCCATGGTTTATCTCTTCAAGATCATGAACCAAACTATCCTCACATGGAGGGAGATCACCTATCCCCTCATTGTGGTTTGGATTAAAATCCATTGAATTAGACCAATCACTGCGATTGGATTCAATTGATTGCATCATTGTCATGGACAATTGTACATCGATCAGAGCAGGGTAGGTACACGTTGTGCACTTCCTTGAACCTTCTTCGGGGTTTTAATGTATCTCATACGCTAGTTCCTCAATTCTCCTATTCAAATTGTTGAATTCTTCCCTTGTGAGTTGGACACCACCACAACATACTTGATCTCTTTAGCAGCGATTGCGCACGCTTTCAGTAGATATTTGGGCACTTTGGGAATGGGCCTACTCTGATACCAATGAATGTAGTGGGATATTCACAGAGAGATCAATGAACTGAAAATTTGATTGAAAAGAGTAATGAGATCTTATAAGCCATGCTTCATAGCTATCTCTGGTTTGACTGGAACTCTCAAAACAAATAATGACCATTTCTTCAACTAAAACCCTAAACCAGCCTCTATTATAGACTAAGATGTCCTTACACCCAAAATTTAGTAGAACTTGGACCCCTAATTAAGTAATTCAAATTAAGTTGGACTCCTAACTAAAATTGGACATAAAAATGACACTTTACCACTATGTCAAAGAAAGACATTTTTGCCCCCTAATTGATTTTTCTGAATAATCCTGAAATCCCTAAAAAAACTTGAAAGACTTTAAAAATAAACGCTAGAAGATCCGAGAAACACATCCTTGGAATTCAATTGGACAATTGAAACATACAAAGTTTCGTGTCCTACATCAGTTTTGAGGTGCCCCCTTATGAAATATTGCAAAGTGTGGCCTTACACTAACGACACACATCTTAAAAGGGGGATGATAACTAGCAAACTGAGAGAAAGGCATGATAAACTATGTAAATATTGAAGTTGGATGCCGGTTTGTATACCTGCATGCCTTCTTACAATGTGATACAGCCATGTAAGGTTTGAATCTTTTGTATCTTGGTGGGAGAACAACATTGAATGAAGTGCCTTAAGCATTATTCTCGTATTTAAAAAAAATAAACTCTTGTTCTTTACATGTAATGATCAATACAAATTTCTTTTGTAGGCGTAACCTTTAAAACTCATATAACGTAAAATGGGAAATGGATCACATATACTTACTTTTACATCTAAAGAAATGTGATAGGAAATAGAAATTCGCCTGTATAATAGATTCAGAGAGTGTGATCTTACCCAAATATTTTACATCTCACAATATTTCTCATTATCTCTTTGCAGTACCCTGATAATTAACCAGAGGCTAGAAACAACATGCAACATAAGCAGTGGCTGATTATTTACCTTCCACAAGGTCTCTAAGTCTTGGACCTTCTTTCGATTGGCAAGACTGATGAAATCCTGCCAGTGTTTTCAAAATCGAAGTGCACTTTATGGGTCTGACCTAAAGAAAGTTTTCTTTTCTAATGGTTAATGCGACCAGAAGGTTTTACTTCTTTAGATACTTCATTTGATCAATGTTGAAAGTGACACTGAAAGAATTTGGCTAGTTAGAAAAATCTTCGTCTCAACAGCTTGCGATGGGATGGTACTGGAAAATATACTCCACTTTTCGTGTAACATTCATCACGGAGCAGGATAGAGACTCTGGTGTACCACAAATAATATTGCATGTGTATCTGTTCGAGCAATACCAAACGATAATGTGCACGCATATCAATAAACATTTAAAGTGTTTTGTGAGGCTCTCAGTATATAACAGAATAAGTTGATCTTGTATAGATCTTTGGTTTATAGTCTTGACTAGGTATCATGATATGTTGTAATATCTCTCATAACATGAGTTTCCTTACATGGTTATATCATTTAGAACACGATTCATAGCAATTTGCAGGACATTAAGTTATGTGAAGGGCCTCTTTAGTATTCATATTGATAATGTTCATCATCAACTACAAAGAAATTGCTACTGGCTGCTGGAACTTGTTCAATGTTCTGGGTACTCTTCAAGGCGCAAACTAGATTTCGATTGGGGATCAAGTTTGATTGACTCAACTTTAAGATTTGCTTGCAGATGCCGGCTAAGATATACCCAAGGAGATCAGCATTTCTTATTGCAAAATTTATTTTATATTTGTGGTCACACTTGTTCACCACAAATTGTGAGGATTCACACATGTGACACTCTAGATACTTCCTAAAGTATAAGTCTTTTGTGTCATTACAACAATCATTGCAAACATTCATTTAATTTTGATACATCCGAGGGAACTTAGGGGTAGCTCTAGTAGGAGATAAGATGAGAGAAAATAGACTTGGTGGTCTGGCCATGTGCAATGTTGACCTAGAACAGTACCAGTTAGGAGGGGTGATTTGGTCTATTATAAGGCTCTAAAAGAGAAAGTGGTAGGCCCTAAAGGACATGGATGGAAGTAGTAAGAAGAGATATGGTGACCTATAGTTTGACTGAGGGTATAGCCCTAAAGTTGAGTCAAGTTTGATTGACTCAACTTTAAGATTTGCTTGCAGATGCTAAGCTAAGATACCCAAGGAGATCAATATTTCTTATTCCAAAATTTATTTTATATTTTTGGTCACACTTGTTCACCACAAATTGTGAGGATTCACACATGTGACACTCTAGATACTTCCTAACGTATAAGGCTTTTGTGTCATTACAACAATCATTGCAAACTTTCATTTAATTTTGATACATCCGAGGGAACTTAGAGGTAGCTCCAGTAGGCGATAAGATGAGAAAAAATAGACTTGGTGGTCTGGCCATGTGCAACGTTGACCTAGAACAACACCAGTTAGGAGTGGCGATTTGGTTCATTGCAAGGCTCTAAAAGGGAAAGTGGTAGCCCCAAAACGATATGGATGGAAGTAGTAAGAAGAGATATGGTGACCTATAGTTTGACTGAGGGTATAGCCCTTGATAGGGTAGAATGGCGGAACAAGATTTGTGTAACCAAATAGTTGAGATAAGACTCAGACGGTAGTTATGGTGATCTCCATATTTTATTGAAACTATACTGTTCAAGCATGCATTAAGACAAGATGTATTGCTTAAATTTACATCAAAAGCTCATAGGCATTGACATGTCTGTGTCCAAGATACGAATTTGGTAACAACTCTATACGAAATAACTTAAGGGACATAGGGACATAGGGTCACAGATTAACCCCCAGTGTTTGTGTTGAACAATTCAAATTGAAGATATTGGTGTTTCAAGATTATATTTATGTGAGGTTTTCCACAAAAGAAAAGAAATTTAATTGGACCATATTAAAGAATCCCCAATATTAATAATTTATAGTTAATGCCCTCGAGGTTCATGGTTTTGAATTTAGATTTTTTCTTTCATGTAAGCTTTGATTAAAAGATCTGATTTCCTAAAGCCTAAGCTAGTTTTCAGGCTTACAGTGGAAACAACTTGTCAAGTATTGATTCAGAAATTCGACTGCTCATATTCCTCATTGTGAGCTTTTCCTTTGCACACTATTAAAGAATCTCTGTGGGTTGTTTTCCATCTGTGTTGGAAGACAGATATGAAATTAAGAATTTTCCTAGAGCATTGATATATTCAACTTCAACAACACACCAGAATTATTTGGTTTTACCTAAGTACTCTCATAGCTAGAATTATTTTAAGAAAATGCATTTCCAAGATTAAACTGAGTTGATTATTTTATTTCAGAGACTGCATTAAAGCTTGATTCTCTGATTGGTGACATCGAAGATGCAGTCTCCACTACTGTCAGTGGACTTTTAAGAAAGTCTTCCTCCTCTGCCAATTATGAAGTAAGGCTCGTAACAAATACCACAATTGTAACTTTTTGTGACATCATAGCTCTCTATCTAAATCTCAACATTAAATGCAGGAAACTCGACTGTTTGCTACAGAACCTCTCAAATGTGTGGAGGACATCTTGATTTCCATCACAAAGTCACACCCGCAATGGATCCGTCTCATCTCAGCTGTCGATCAAAGGATTGATCGGGCCTTGGCAATCCTGAGGCCTCAAGTTATTGCAGATCACAGGGCTCTTCTAACCTCGCTTGGATGGCCACCCCCTCTCTCTGGCCCCACAAAACAAGATCTAGAGAAAGGCTCTTCTCTCTCTAACCCCCTCTTCTTGATGCAGGGAGACCTTAAATACAAATATTTCAGCAGCTTTCTCGCTCTCTGTAATTTACAGGAGCTTCAAACACGAAGAAGGGCTCGACAGCTTGTGCAACGGGACCAAAATTTCTCTCTCCACCATCTAAAGGACCAGAGTTTCTCACACCACCATCTGCAGGACCAGAGTTTCTCTCTCTACCAACCTCAGGACCAGGTTTTCCTTCTTCGTCAGCCGCTTTGGACAATCGAGGAGCTGGTGACTCCAATTGCCTTAGCATCAAGACCTCACTTCTTGAAGTGGGTCGAGAAGCCAGAGTTCATATTTGCTCTGGTTTACAAGATCACTCGAGATTTTGTTGAATCAGTGGACGAGATATTGCAACCACTTGTTGACAAGGCGAGACTTAGTGGTTACAGTTGCAGAGAGGAGTGGGTGTCATCAATGGCCACTTCTCTCACTACCCATCTTGCAAAAGAGATCTTCCCCGTCTATGTAGGCCACTTAGAGGATGAGAGAGAAACATTCCAAGTGAGGCTCTCATGGCTACGCCTGGTCGACCTCATGATATCATTTGACAGAAAGATGCAAGGCCTAATAGCAAGCTCGAGACTCTCTCTCTCTCTAGACGAGGAGATTTTGCAAAGAGTTTCATGCATGTCAGTTTTTTGTGATCGCCCAGATTGGCTCGAGATATGGGGAGAGATTGAGCTCAAAGAAGCACAAGATAAACTGAAACCAGAGATTGAGGCTGAGAAATCATGGAAGGGTAGAATTCAAGGCGCAATTCTCTTGTCTGACCCAATTGATTACAAGGCTCCTGCTATAGCTGAATTTGTCCTGAGGTGCTTATCCTCTGTGATAGAGCGTTCCAGGTCATTGCCTAGAATTCACTTAAGGGCTAGATTTATCAGGTTATCTGGAGTCCCTACTGTTAGACAATTTCTGGACTCTTTGCTTCAAAGATGTCAAGAAGCAGAAGGGCTAACCGCTTTAACTGATGAGACTGCCATGAAAAAGGTTGCGGTCTCTGTGAATTCAGCAAGGTATTGTGTGTCAGTGCTAAAAGAGTGGTGTGAGGACGTGTGCTTTCTAGAGATGGCAGCTTCGGAGAGAGAAGAACTCCAAAGTTTAGAGAGAGGAGGTAGAAAGAGTTTAGAGAGAGAGTACAGGGACTCGGTTTTTGGCGAGGAGATTGAGAAATTGGAGGAGTTTAGAGAGGAGTGGGTGGCAAAGCTTTGGACTGTGGTTTTGCGTGGTTTTGATGCTCGTTGCCGCAATTATTTGAAGAATAGGAAGCAATGGTTGGAGAAGGGCCAACTTGGGGTAGTGAACCCTGGGCTTTTAGAGGGGTTGGACTATATTCAAGGGAGGATTGTCAAAATGCAAGGTGAGCTGAATGAGGTCGATTTTGTGGGGTTTTGGAGGGGTTTAGCAGGTGGGTTAGACCAAACCATCTTTGGTAGTATTTTGGCAAATGACGCAGTGAGATTTAGTGAAGAAGGGTCAAAGAGGTTTATTGGGGACATGGAGGCTTTGTTTAGCCTTTTTGGGGTGTGGTGTGTGAGGGGTGAGGCCTTCTTTCCAAGGGTTAGTGAGGGTTTGAGGGTGATGAGACTGGGGAAGGAGGACAAAGAGAGATGGTTGAGAGAGAAAAGTGGGATGAGGCATTTGAATGTGGGGCAAGTGGAGAGGCTATTGAGGCGTTGTCCATAATGCTTTGTCCATTAATAAGGGAAGGTAGGTACATTGGATTTGTGTTGGATTTGGTAGAGGGAGAAGCATGGGACTGAGGCATTTGGGTGTGGGAGAAGTGAAATGGTTGCTGAAGCATTTTCCATGTCCATAAAGGAGATGCTAGATTCATTGAATTGGTGTTTTTTCTTATTGTCTCAATTTGAGGAATTATCATTGAGATTTGCTTGATTTAATTGTCCCTCCCGTCAAACGTTTTTCCAGAAACATCATTTCTCTCACTAGCACCATGAAGGTTCAAAAACAACTCAGGCTTGGACTCGAACCCAACCCAAATCGAGGTACTGGTGAGTAGTGGACCCACTTTAATAGTGTAATGGTAAAAAAAAAGTTTACAAATTAAAGAATGTGGGTTATGTTAGGGTGCTGAGCATTTTATAATTGTATGCAATTAATTTTGGATTTTTATATATCTTTGTTTTGTAATGCAATATTTTTTAGTAAGAGTCTTTTTATTATTAGGAAGGGTGTGATATTATCCACATGGAGTTTAACTCACCCACACAGTGTATGTGAATGATATCACTTCATATAGATGATGTTACACATTTCTTAATGACAAAAAATACTCTTAATGATAAAAAATACTCTTACTAAAAAATGCTCTATGTATAAAATAATGATATATAACTGTCCAAAATTTGGAGGCGATATAGTTATTAAAAAAAAAAAAATACCTTACATAATTTACAGTACAAATAAAATAATAAATAAAATATAAGATTTAGCTATCAATATATAATTATTAATATTATAATAAATATGATTAAAAACTTATTAAAAATACTTCCATGTCATATGATTAAAAACAAAAATAAAACCCTTAATAAATTTTAATGTAATTATATTCACATGATTATACTATCATAAGTTTGACAAGTTATTAAGATAAATAAACAATAATAATTTTAATATAATTATACTATTTTTTGCAAATTAATTGAATAGAATTTTTTTTTGTAATTATATCTAATTAAAACTTAACTATATATACTTTTATTTTTTTATATTATAAAAAGTTATTAATCTAAAAAAGAAACAAATTTTGTTGATTATTTAGACGAATATAAGTACAAGCGGACGTGTAACAATCCTAAAATTTCAAAAAAAAAGAAAAAAAAGAAAAAAAAAGGGGAGAAAAAATGCTTTTAAATAGGTGATGGTCTGTTTCAGTATGATGGTCTTTGGGGACCATCACTATTTTCAAAAGTTTTTACTTTGGTTTAAACTTTTGCTTTTGCCTGCTGCTTTTGCCTGTTGCTGCTTGCTGCTTGCCACGTCCTTTAGTGGACGTGGTTTTCGTATGTTAAAAGCAGACTCTTAACGCGACACCTCAGGTATGAGGTAGAGCGTAATAAAATAATATAATAATACGTTATAAGAATTTAAATAGGGGAGGTGAGCACTCCCACCCTAAAAAATTTTGAGATCTCTCTCTCTCTGGTCGAAACACAGTGAACTCCTCTCTCGAACCGAATTTTTATCGGAAGCTCCCTCTCAAATATTTGTGAGTAAGTGACATCGTCTTCCTGAAAAATAGTCTATTTTTAATAAATTGTGATATTTTCGTCTATGATCTTTATTTTATCAGTTTTGTGTGTAAGTGACCTCATTGTCTCGAAAAATAATCCATTCTTTTTAAAAATAAAATGAAATAATTATTTCTACTTATTATCATGAATTTTAGGTGCGATAAATTTTATGCGCACACGACCTCATTATATTGAAAAATAATCTTTTTAATAAAAATTGTGATATTTTATCTATGTTAGAAATTTTGAATGCTGTAAATTGAAAAATAAATTTATTTATTTTTCTTGTTTTTTGTTAGAAATAAATGTGATATTTCTGCTTTTAGTAAAATTGTGAGATTTCTTTCTACTGTTTTTAAATATTTAGACATTGTAAATTTTCATATGCGAATGACTACCTTATTAACTGAAAATTGATATTTTTGCATTTGATTATAGCATTGTTGTGAAATGTTTATTTGCAAATTAACATCCCATAAATTGTGATAATTCCGTATTCTTGAATTTCTATAAGAGTTTTCCTATGCATGTTAGATTGGCAATTATGCTAGAATGTCTTTACGAATTGCTACCTTTCTAAATTTGAGCCCAAAATATTTGATTGGTTGAAATGTTATTGAAAGTGACTGTTATTAATGGTTTTTAGTGAAATTCATATTAGTGATTTCAATGATATGTTGAGTACATGATATTTGCTGCTTTTCGAATGTTTAAAGAGATTTTGAAATAATTTAAGTATGCAACTGGACTCATCCGGTTCGTCGGTGAGGTATAAGTGGACCTATCCGGGACGCCGGTAGGGATTAAGTGGACTCATCCGGTACGCCGGTGAGGTATAAGTGGACCTGCAGGGATTAAGTGGACTTATCTGGGACGCCGATAGGGATTAAGTGGACCTATCTGGGACGCCGATAGGTATTAAGTGGACCCATCAGGACGTTGATGGGGTATATAGGTGACTTACTTGGGACGCCAGTAGAGTATTTTGTGAAATCCTTTGAATTATGTACTGCCGTTAAAAGTGTTATAAGCATTTCAATTACTCGGATTATACTTAATTATGTATTTATTGAAAGTGAAACTGTTGATGCATTTCTGTTAATAGATCTCATTTTGAAAAATATTGATATTTTTCAATCATGATTATTTTTAGGATTATGATGATCACTTACTGAGTAGCCAAACTCATCAAACTATGGTAAACATTTTTTTCAAGATAACTACGGATTCATTTTGAGTGCTAGTCAAGATCAATCTTGGAAGATACTGTTGTTGTGCTAGCTTTCTTTATTTATTTTGTAAGACCCCGCCACTGTAAATTTGTCCTATCAATAGATATATATATGTTTTGTCTGTCACATCTTAAGAATAACAATACTATAAATTCTTGGAGTGTGACAAGACGCGTATGTGAAAGCTATTCATTCATATATGGCATACTTGTTTTGGAAATGTAGAAGGCTAGAATTGTCCCCAATCCAAGGATTTGACACAAAGAATCCAAGTATAAAAAGGTGACCCCAACTCCATGACCAACGTGACACATTGCATGTGAGGTAAGCATGGCGTGAGAGTAGGGGTGGATAGCTGAGATGGTAATAATTTTTTTTACGAAAATCAAATCGTTTTGTTCAAACTTCCGATTCATACTGTATTGTGACGTCACACTATATCGAGTCCTTACAAGGGTTTTCGGCCCTAGATTTTCATTTTATAGCCGGATTTAGAGTGTGCCTTAGTTTGATTATTTAATGTTGACATCTCATACAAAGCACACCCTTAGTTAATTAACAATTGATTATTTAATGTTGACATCTCATACAAAGCACACCCTTAGTTAATGAACAAAAGCTAACGTAAACCAGAAGAGCAAAAAAAAAAAAACAATTGATTATTTAATGTTGACATCTCATACAAAGCACACCCTTAGTTAATGAACAAATGCTAACGTAAACCAGAGGAGGAAAAAAAAAAAAAAACAAAGTCATAGCCGGATTTAGAGTGTGCCTTA